ATTCTCCTGCCTCAGCCTCCCGAGTAGCTGGGACTACAGGCGCCCGCCACCTCGCCCGGCTAGTTTTTTTGTATTTTTTAGTAGAGACGGGGTTTCTCCGTGTTAGCCAGGATGACTCCCATTCATTTCTATGGACTCAGCTCCCCTAACAGGGCCTCTCTCCTACCCCACCCCAACTGGTCTAGGGCTCTCACATCTCCTTCCCACGTGCTCTCAAAGCACCTTGTGCTTACACCTTCCACAGAATTAATGAGGTAGGCTTTATTCCCCCCTCCATCATTCTATGTGGGAAGATGCCGTTCTGCTTTATTTAACACCATGCATAGTGCCTGGAACATGGCAGGGGCTCAACAAATATTGGTTAGATGAATGAATCTCTGCCTTAAATAACCTATTTCTGGGTTCAAGTAAACGGTCCTCACACCCACCTAACATCCCAATGGCAGTATCCTATCTTGAGTCTTATAACTAAAGTAGGGCCAAAGCTGGTTGGGATAATTTAGAATTTTCAAGACAACCTTGCCTGCTTCATGTGGCTGGGGCTATTCTCAGCCTTGGAGGACTCCTTCCAAAACAGGGCCAGGGAGAGGCTCCAGGGCTTCCGTCTTCCAGCAATGGTTCTGGTGGGCAGGTCTGCCTGGAAGGGTGCACCTCGGCCACAGCTGGCGGGACGTTTGTTTACTTGCTTTGCCTACAGCCAGGGCCTATTTCTGCATCAGGTGTTGGATGCATGCCTGTGTCACTCTAGTCAGGATCTCGCCAGGCACTGAGTGGTGAGCACGTGTGCTGGGAGAGAACAGCGGCAGTCCCTTAGGTTATCTGCCTGGCTGCAGCCCAGCCTTCTCTGGGTGTACCAAGTCATTAAGGCTTGGCCCCTGTTGGTGATTACCCTCCCCTGGCTCTAAGGCTTAGCACTAAATATTGCTCCATTTGCTCTAACTTGCTGCCTATTTCACTAAGGAGGAAGAAGGAAGAAAGTTGGGGGTGATAAGTAAGACTCTCTACCAACTTATAAATCTTACTGGGTTGAGGAAGCCCTAACTGGAGTTCCCTGGAGTTTTCAGGGTCAAAGGAAACAGATCAGCATTTTGGGCCAATACTATTTTTTCCTGTGGTTAGTCCCATTACTAAAAAGGAACTGGAACATGAAGAGGTCACGTGACTTATTTATGACCATTCAGTAAGCCACAAGACAGATAAAAGACAGCACTCAAAGGACTCTCAGTTTCCAATGTAGTGCCACTTCACTAGCCTAAGATAAATCTATATTAACAAGTTAGCTTTGGGAGCTAGTGTCAAATTTGGTTTTGGTAAATGGAACATGGCAGGGACTCAACAAATATTGGTTAGATAAATGAATCTCTGCCTTAAATAACCTATTTCTGGGTTCAAGTAAACAGCCCTCGCACAGACCTAACATCCCAAAGGCAATATCCTGTCTTGAGTCTTATAACTGAAGTAGGGCCAAAGCTGGTTGGGCTCTTTTTTTTTAGGCTTTTTTTGGAGCCATTGTTTAAGCTGTCACCTCTAAATCTATTAGGAAACTATAGCTACAACTCACTGGGTTCCCTTCCGTGGAGTCATGCAGAGCTCCTCTCACACCGCACCCAGGTTTACACATGGGCTAGAAACCATTCAACTTACAACTCCGTTTCAGTTCCCCTAAAGCGATTCTCCACCCTCTCATATTCCGATTTCTGTTTCTGAGGTAGAAAATGGGAAGTAGGGAAAAGGCAAAGCTAGAACCTTGCCTGAATGACAGAAACACTATTTTCGGGTATAGAAATATTCTCTTGCCGTCCCATGATCTGCACTTTGGGAGACTGTTTTGAGACCTCATTGTTTTTTTTCTTAAATTGTTGTTTCTGAGGAAGAATAATTTTTGTTTGTTTATCATCCAAGGAGAAGAAAAATTTTAGTTTCTCTTTCTTTAAAAAATCCATCCTGAAAGCCATCACTCCTGGAGTGGAGTGAGGCCTGGCGTCTGAACTCCAGGTGGAGATGGCGGCCTGCAAGCCTGGACCAAAGCCAGATGACTGTCAGTACTCTGGCTTCCTCAACGTGCCCAGGGGCCACAGAGAGCCACTCTCTGTGTCACACGTATCCTGCCAATAGAATGCTGTAAGAATAAAGCTACTAAATCTACTAATAAAGGTGTTAACCCAGCCAGGACAACATGGCAAAATCCCATCTCTACAAAAAATATAAAAAATTAGCTGGGCATGGTGGTGTGCACCTGTAGTCCCAGACACTCGGGAGCCTCAGGCAGGATCACCTGAGCCCAGGAGGTCAAGACTGTGGTGAACTGAGACCATGCCACTGCCCTCCAGCCCTGGTGATAGAGTGAGACCCTGTCTCAAAAAAAAAGAAAAAGTTTAACCATTAGTCAATGGAAAGAGAGGAAAGGGCCAGGCATGGTGGCTTGCACCTGTAATCCCAGCACTTTAGGAGGCCAAGGTGGAAGGACAGCTTGAGCCCAGATGTTCGAGACTAACCTAAGCAAAATAATGTGACCCTGTCTCTATAAAAAATTTTTTTTTAATTAGCCAGGCATAGTGGCACATGCCTATAGTCCCAGCTACTCAGGAGAAGCTAAGCCAGAAGGATGGATTGAGCCTGGGAGGTTGAGGCTGTAGTAAGCCATGACCATCACTATATTCCAGCTTGGGTGACAGACTGAGGAGACCCTGTCTCAGAAAAACAAAAAAAAAATAAGGAAAAAAGAGGAAAGTATATTTGAATATTACAATAAAAATATTCGTATCACTAAGCAAGTATATGGAACAACCTAATTGGTTCCTGTCTTTTCGGGCAAGGCAAATACTTGATTTAGAAATGAGCAAACAGTTGAGCTGGGTGTGGTGGCTTGCACCTCTAATTCCAACTACTCAGGAGGCTGAAGTGGGACGATCACCTGAGCTCAGGAGTTTGAGGTTACAGTGAACTATATGATTGTACCACTGCACTGCAGCCTGGGCAACAAAGTGAGACCCTGCCTCAGGGAAAAAAAAAAAAAAAAAGCAAATGAAGATTGATTGATTTATTCTATTTTTTCTTTTGACTCCTCTCTGGATCTGAAGATTTTTACAGCCACCCTACTGATCATTAGGGATTTGTAAACTATTACCCAGGAAGAAGGCCCATGGAGCAAAGGCCTCAGAACACCAAAGTCTGGACTGTCTGAGGGCACATGCTAATAACAGGAGTGTGGCAAAGGTGGCCAGCTCCCGTGGCTTGGCATGCATTAGTCTTTACCTCCTGCTGCCTGGAACATCCCTCCGGGAGGAATCGAGTCAACAGCACCACAGACACTGCTATTCCGTTGAGAAAAGTTTTACATGGACAACATATACTGATCATGAACACGATAAACAGGGAGGGAACCTCGGGCTCAGCCAGGAAAGCTGCCACAAGGAAGACGTTTGGAACTATCCAGGAGTAGTGTCAAACACTAACACCATATTTACAAGTCTAATTTGGAACCTGGCCCTTTTTAAGTGCAGGAGGAAGTTGGAGGAGAAGCCATGCATGAAATAAAAAATATATATACACAGACATAAACACCCACATTTTCACACTTCTTTTCTCCGCAAGGAACAAATGAGAGAAAGAAGGCCAGCCTCTCTCTCTGGAGTCCGTACACTTACTACAGATTTGTTAGAGAAGCCCCAGATGGGGCTTGGATTCAAGGACACTCTTACTGGCCCCACTCACCCGTGACAGTTCACCAAGGGAATGCTTGGGACACAAGCATGAATGTCCAGAAGAGGCAAGAAAATATATGGCTCACTTAACTTACACATTACACATGAGGGGCCTCAGTTTCTCCAAGTACTTTCACATTCGATCCTTAGCAGACTTCTAATCTGCAGTGACAGAGCTCAGTCAAGCTGAGACACAGAGGAAAGCAGCATTTTGATCCAGCGTGCACTGGGTCAGTCACTTCACCCAAGACAGTCACACATGCCAGCCCCAAGTAAGTCCCTGGGGGCTTGCAGCTGTTTTCTTTGTGGAGTGAAATTTGGGTTTTTTCCCTCAGTGGATTTCTCCCTGCTGCTGCCGCTGAGCTCCACGCTGCTCCCTCTGGACCCGAGACAGCTGCTGCACGTGTGTGAGTGTGTGTAATTTACTGCTCTGCTGCTCCACGTGTGTGAGTGTGTGTAATTTACTGCTCTGCTGCTGCTGGTTTGTCCCCGGCTGCTGGCTCGTCCTTGGCCACTGGCTTCTCAACCTGTGACTCTGGAGGAATCAGATACTGGACCTCCTCTGTGCTGACGGCTACTTTATCCGGCTGCAGCCACCTCTTGAAATGTTCCAAGGTGCTATGAAAGGGCAGAAAAAAAGGGTGGCTGTGTCAGACCTCACTGATTAATTACTTAATGATTATCTCAGTTACTCAAACACTACCTTCCCGCCCACCAGCAATTTCTTCCTACAATTGTTTTTCACTGCTAACCTGGGGAGTACAAGGATATTCCTATGGCAGCTGTGCATCCTGGCAGCTCTGCGCATAATTTACCCCATAGTGGGCACTTTGGCTACAGGCAGCAGTAGGCCCCCTTCGAATGCAGAGCCTCTGAAGGCTTGATGAGAACCGCTGAAGACTGTATGCCTCAGTCCTAAAGACCTAAAGATAGGTCTTTTTTCACTCAAAACAGGAGAGGAAAGAAATTGTCAAGGGGAAGAAACACTCAAATAAATATCAAATTATTACTGAGGCAAAAATCTGAGTATCTTTTACCTCTTATAGCTGAGGCAGTCTGGGACTCAATTATAGCACTTACTTGCACTCAGTGATTTTTTTTTGTTGTTTTTTTCTTTTTGTGGGTTTTTTTGTTTGTTTATTTCATCCTATAGCAAGTCCCTAAGATAAAAACATCTGAGCAGCAAATATTCCCCACAAGAGACTGACTACTATGCCAGAGGGCTCTCTTTTTGTCTGGATCTATAGGGAGAGTAGAGATGTAATTGTCAAGCTCAAGGTCCCCTACCGACCTTCCTTACAGGACCCTATACCCTAAAGCTATTAGACATTCACAGTACAATATAAATGACTAGAAATAATGTAAACCTTATTCAATGCTCCTCAATAGCACAAAGTCTCAACCCAAGAAAGAATACCGTAACAGCAGATTTTAGGCCTCTCTTGGTGTATGGGGGAATTATGTTTTGGACAGCTGGATTTCTCAGCCCATTACTCCCTTGCCAAAAGCATACCACAAGGAGGATCACCTACCTGGCCCTCACATACGTGAAGACCTCTACAACCCCATTATAAAATGGCCTCTGTTTAAAAGATAAACTTTGAAGAACTAGTGTTTCCTGGTGTTTTTTCTGGACAATGATAGAGAGAAACATTCCCACAGATGTAGGCTCTGGGGAAGAATCTAAATGTCAGAGGGCAATGAGAGCAGCTGATTGACTCTAGTGCTCACAGCTCAGGGGAATCAGGTGTGACACAGCATTTAATCCTCATTTACCACACTTTTCATAGAATTGTTCAAATTATTTCTATAGAGAAGGGAAAATCCACATTGTTTTACATATTGATAAATACATAGGAACATGCTGATCTGATTTCAGAGAAAGAGGATTTCTACTTGAGAATGACACGGGAGAAAGTTTTGTCTTTTCTTCTCAGAGCTGGAGAGAAGGGAGGTATTCGGGGGAGAGAGAATATAAGTAAATACAAAATTATCAGTGGGTCAGGAGTCTGCATCTTCAAATCTCCTATGTTTGGAGCAATTTAAGACTTAATTAGGTTGGACCTTTAGAGATAGAAAAGAGCAAAATGTATATGATTTCCTGAACCCTCAGAGGAGAGTTGGCCTGACCTTAGATGCTACACTGATTTTGAAGCATCTAGAGGCATGCTCATTCAGCATTTGAGATAATGTAAGTGAAAGTATTTTGCAAATTTGCAAGTAAATGTACATATGAAGTTTTATTCACATACTGTCCTGATTTCAGCAGCAGTACTTCTGACATGATGGGACTCTGAACACCAATGTCCATATGTTGCAAACCTATGGACAAACCCTAAGACCTTTTGTTAAAATTCAATTTTTTACTCCCCCCATTGATTTTTACTTTGAATAATTTCTTACTAACTCTAAAATTCTGTTAGAAAGGATAATATTAGTAACACTTCTATAGTGCTTACCATGTGCTAGGCATTGTTCTATGCCCTTTACATATAGTAACTTGTTTAACCCTCATAACAACTTACGAGGTAAGAGCTGATTGCTCCCATTTCACAGATCAGGAAACTGAGGCACACACAGGTTACTTACCCAAGAACATACAACCAGTAAGTGGCAGAGCCGATTTCCTGAGTGTCGAGCCCCATTCCTCCTCACTGGGGCAGGGCAGCATGTCCTCTCTACCTCTCTATCTTTCTGCATCTAAATTACTTGCATCTAAACTACTTTCTGCATCTAAACTACTGTTCAAGTCCTGCCTCCCTCTATGGCAAAACACCAAAGCCAGGAGGGAGCTCAGCGGTCTCTCAATTCCCAAAGCACGTTCTGTCACTTCTACTAAACTGGCCCTTCTCTTATTACTGCCTGGTATTGTTACATATATTTGTCATCTGCCCACAAGTAGTTTTGAGGACAAAAACAAATGGGTCTAAAACTTCCTTATACCATTCCCTTCATGATGCCAAAGCACAGTGCTATCACACAATGGATGCTTAATCAATTCATTCATTTAGTCTACATAAATTCATTCAGTGGCTACAATCTGACAAAAATTCTGTAAGGCAGGCCGAGTGCAGTGGCTCATACTTGTAATCCCAGCACTTTGTGAGACCAAGGCAGGCATATCACCTGAGGTCAGAAGTTCAAGACCAGCCTGGCCAACATGGTAAAACCCCATCTCTACTAAAAATACAAAAATTAGCCGGGTATGGTGGCACACGCCTGTAGTCCCAGCTACTCAGGAAGCTGAGGCACAAGAATTGCTGGAACCCAGTAGGCAGAGATTGCAGTGCGCCACGATCGTGCCACTGTACTCCAGCCTGGGCAACAGAGCAAGATTCCATCTCAAAAAAAAAAAAAAAAAAAATTTGTGGGGCAGTGGAAATTCAGAGGTAAGAAGAGAGAGTTCCAGAAAATAATCTCTCTGAAGAGTAAATGGTTTTTCCTTTTGTTACAGTAACATGTTTTCCAAACCTCATGAGAAACAATTCAAAAATATAAGAGAGATTGATTAATTACTACTTTCTCAAGTCACTGCATACTTAAAAATGAACACAATGGTTTATCCTTAACTCTATTCATATATGACCAACATGTAGCTGCAGTATTTGCCTTTAGGCAAAGAAGTCTGTTCTTAAAAATCTACTGCTGGGCTAAAAACAAATAGAACAACTACATAAAGGCTGATTTCAGCTGGGACTAGATGGGGAATCGATTACCTCTCATCAGAATCAAGTCCATCCACAAAGAACTCTGAAGCTAACTTCTCCTGGAGGAACCGATCCCAGCATTCCTTCTTGGCTTGGGCCAGAGTTCGAAGCATGTCCTTGGAAGTCACTTCCTGATTTAAACCTTTGATTCTTCTTAGCTTCTTCTCTAGAGAGAGAAGTAGAGCTTAATAAGGAAAATGAGTATGACATGAAATTTTAACTAAATCTAAAACTCAAAATACCAACTTAAAAAAATCTCTGATGAGGACATCCACACTCCCTGCCAAAGAGGTCATTTTTTAAGGACAGATAAAAGGGAATTGAACAGTCTTCTTTTTTCCTTCACAAAGTCCTCACCCTGCATTGTATCAAATAAATGTTTAACCCGAGAAAAGGGAAAAGCCATAGGTTCTCATAAATAAATCAATGGCTTGTTTTCTTTGAAATCACATAAGCCCAGCAGGTATCCCTCTAAGGAATGGTTGTTTTTCCTGGTTTGACATGTGTATACTACTGTCTTTTTTCAACTCCTTGAAAATAATCTGTCAGGAGTAAGTGGTTTTTCTTTTTGTTACAGTAACATGAAGTGGTTTCCAAATCTCATGAGAAAGAATTAGAGAAAATGATGAAAGATCCAACGGTTCATTAGGTATTAAAATTGACTTGATGAGAATTCAATAAGAGACCTTTAAAATCTCTATGTGTGATTAAATTCTTGATAAAAAGAATCTCCCAACATTTTTAAAGTTGCTCAACTTGTAGCCTGGATGTTGGAGTCTAACAAAAACAAATGTCTTCTAATCCCATGACAGTGCTCCATATGGCTTCTTGATGATAGAGGTTAAATTACTCTTGTTTGCATTTTAACTCTAATTGTCTAACAGATTTCCCCTTTTGAAGAATGCAAGAAAGGACATCACCATTTACCGTCTGCCTTAATTTAGTTTTGCCTTCAACTATAAGTACATAGGTAAATGATGGCATGGTGGGGTGGTGAACATCAAGCTTAGAGCCAATAGAAACTACGATTTGCAGTTCTGTTTTCATTTCTAAAAAAGTCACATCAGCTAACACCCACTGATCAAAACAAATACCTTTTGTTCCTGTTATTACCACCGTGAACTCAACCATGTTAAAAAAAACCTGCAGTTGATAAATGTTAAATATTTGCAGGGTTTGTTTTCTCCTTGAGGATATAAAAAGGGTTATCCATAGCATACATTTAAGTTTTTAATTACTGCTGTTATCAGTGGATTCTTTTTGATATAAGTTATTTAGCAATAAAAACAATCTTCATATTATCTGGCCTCCGTTGTCAAGGTGGAAGGTACTCTTTTGGGCCGGAAAAGGTCCTCCCCCTCTCTAAGTATGCTGAGTCCCTGGTCAGGTGTGATTTCAACAGGACAGGCAGAAACAGGCACTAACACATCCCTGTCTGCCGCTGTCTCCCAGTCCGTGCCATAGGCAACAGAAATGACTCTTATTTTCTTCAGAGATAAAAACTTCTTTTTTTTTTTTGAGACAGAGTCTCGCTGTCACCCAGGCTGGAGTGCAGTGGCCGGATCTAGCTCACTGCAAGCTCTGCTTCCTGGGTTTACGCCATTCTCCTGCCTCAGCCTCCCGAGTAGCTGGGACTACAGGCACCCACCACCTCGTCCGGCTAGTTTTTTGTATTTTTTAGTAGAGACGGGGTTTCACCGTGTTAGCCAGGATGGTCTTGATCTCCTGACCTCGTGATACGCCCGTCTCGGCCTCCCAAAGTGCTGGGATTACAGGCTTGAGCCACCTCGCCCGGCCTGAAAACTTCTTAACTGACTTTAGAAAAGATCATTAACTTTCCAAGCCAGTCTTCACTAATCAGAATCATCACTGTCTTCATTAAACTTTTTCTTTTTTTTTTTTTGAGATGGAGTCTCGCTCTGTCACCCAGGCTGGGGTGCAGTGGCATGATCTCACTCAGCTCACTGCAAGCTCTGCCTCCTGGGTTCAAGCGATTCTCCTGCCTCAGCCTCCCAAGTAGCTGGGATTACAGGTGCACACCATCACACCTGGCTAATATTTGTATTTTTAGTAGAGACAGGGTTTTGTCATGTTGGCCAGGATGGTCTTGAACTCCTGACCTCATGTGATCTGCCTGCCTCGGCGTCCTAAAGTGCTCTCTCTCTTTCTCTTCCTCTGTCTCTTTTTCAACAAGGTCTTGCTCAGTCACCCAGGCTGGAGTGCAGTGGCATGATCACAGCTCACTGTAACCTCAAACAACTGCTAGGCTCAAGCAATCCTCTCACCTCAGCCCCCTGAGTAGCTGAGATTACAGGCATCTACCACTTCAGGCTAATTTTTAAAAATATTTTTGTAAAGACAGTCTCACTATGTTGTCCAGGCTGGTCTCACACTCTTGGCCTACATGTGATCCTCCCACCTCGGCCTCTCAGAGTGCTGGGATCATAGGTGTGAGCCACCATGCCTGACTTTCATGAAAGTTTCTTAGAAGCCCTCGTCATAGAGCACCAACAAGCCAAAGGATCTGGTTCTTTAGCTTTATCCGATTGCTGCCTCTTCTCCTTATCATCATTAAACAGATGCTTTGGCTACCACATACAGAATTTTCATCCCCTAGGCCATGGCTGCAAGCATTGCTATCCTATCTTTGGTGGCTCCCTGGCAAATTTCACATTACTCCCTATCTTTCTATCACTCCACCTATGTTTTTCTCATATCTTCTTCCTCCAGTACATCATTAACAAAATCCCTTTTGTTTTTGCAAGATATTTCTTAGCTATTATGCAAGCTCTCTTCTGACTCTTCTTTCCGTCTTTCCTCAGAAGCTCCTTCTACCTGAATTGCCTTTCCTTCCTCAAAAAATTATTCCCACATTTGCAACTGATCTTCGACAAAGCATACAACAACATAAATTGGGGAAAGGACACCCTATTTAACAAACGGTTCTGGGAAAACTGGCTAGCCACGTATAGAAGAATAAAACTAGATCCCTGTCTCTCACCTTATACAAAAATCAACTCAAGATGGATATGACTTGAAATCTCCAAAATTCTAAAAGAAAACCTAGGAAAAACTCTTCCAGATATTGGCCTAGGCAAAGATTTTTTTTTTTTTTTTTTGAGACGGAGTCTCGCTCTGTCGCCCAGGCTGAAGTGCAGTGGTACTATCTCGGCTCACTGCAACCTCTGCCTCCCAGGTTCAAGCGATTCTCCTGTCTCAGCCTCCGGAGTAGCTGGGACTACAGGCGTGCGCCACCACGCCCAGCTAATTTTTGTATTTTTAGTAGAGATGGGGTTTCATCATGTTGGCCAGGATGGTCTTGATCTCTTGACGTTGTGATCCACCTGCCTTGGTCTCCCAAAGTGCTGGGATTAAAGGCGTGAGCCACTGCGCCCAGCCTAGGCAAAAAAATTTATGACTAAGATCCCAAAAGTAACTGCAACAAAAACAAAAATAAATAAATGGGATCTAATTAAACTAAAAAGCTTCTGTACAGCAAAAGAAATAATCATCAGCATAAACAGACAACTCATGGAATGGGAGAAAGTATTTGCAAACTATGTATCTAACAAAGGACTAAAATCCAGAATCTACAAGGTGCTCAAACAAATCAGAAAGAAAAAAACAAATAATCCCATCAAAAAGTGGGCAAATGACGTGAATAGACATTTCTCAATGGGATTTGAGAAGATATACAAATGGCTAACAAACATATGAAAAAATGCTCAGAATCACTAATCATCAGGAAAATGCAAGTCAAAATGATGAGATACTACCTTACCCCAGCCAGAATGGCCACTATTAAAAAGTCGAAAAACAATAGATGTTGACATGGATGTGGTAAAAAGAGAATCCTTATACACTGCTGATGGGAATGTAAATCAGTACAACCTCTATGGAAAACATATGGCAATTTCTCAAAGAACTAAGAGTAGATCTACCATTTGATCTAGCAATCCCACTACAAGGTGTTTACCCAAAGGAAAAGAAGTCATTATATCAAAAAGACACCTGCACACGTTTCACAATTCATAATTGCAAAGATACGGAAGCAACCTAAGTGCCCATCGAGCAATGAGTGGATAAAGAAAATATGGAATATATACACCATAGAAGACTACTCAGCCATAAGAAAGAATAAAATAATGTCTTCTGCAGCAACTCAGACGGAGCTGGAGGCCATTATCCTCTAAGTGAAGTAACTCAGGAATGGAAAACAAAATGCCATACGTTCTCACTTATACGTGGGAGCTAAGCTATGGGTACACAAAGGTATACAAAGTGGTATATTGGCCAGGCACGGTGGCTCACACCTGTAATCCCAGCACTTTGGGAGGCAGAGGCGGGTGGATCACGAGGTCAGGAGTTCGAGATCACCCTGACCAACATGGTGAAACTCTGTCTCTACTAAAAACACAAAAATTAGCCAAGCGTGGTGGCAGGCGCCTGTAATCCTAGCTACTGAGGAGGCTGAGGCAGCAGAACTGCTTGAACCCATGGGACGGAGGTTGCAGTGAGCCGAGATCGTGCCACTGCACTCCAGCCTGGGCGACAGAATAAGACTCCGTCTCAAAAAAAAAAAAAAAACCAAAAAACGACAAAGTGGTATACTGGACTTTGGAGATTCAGAAGTGGGGAGGTTTGGAGAGGGGTGAAAGATAAAAAACTACACATTAGATACAATGTCCACTACTTGGGTGATGGGTGCACTAAAATCTCAGACTTCGCCACTATACAATTAATCCACATAGCCAAAAACCGCTTGTACAGCAAAAGCTATTGAAGTAAAAAAATTAGGGCCAAGCGCGGTGGCTCACGCCTGTAATCCCAGCACTTTGGGAGGCCAAGGTGGGCCTTACTCCCAGGTTTGGTTTCGTGAAACATGGATGGATCTCATGGTTGTTCCACAATAAAAGGATATTACAATTCTAAAGACTGCCCATCACTGCCCTAGACTGATACTTCCTTTTCTCCTAGCATGGGACAATTTGAATCTCTTTACTGTGTTTGGAATCTCTCTAGATACTTATACTATGGCCACAGGACAGGGTACTGAAAATGTGTTCAGGAAATATTTTTAAAATAAAATGGCTAACAAGAGGCAGAATGAATCTTATGTCAATGTGCTCCCATTCTCAACAATCAATCAATGTATTACGTTTTTCAAACTCTAGCATCAGAAATCACATGTAGCCCTGGGGCCATCACATTTTCTTGCAGGATGGCATAAGGTTTAACACTTTTGTTATTTGAATATATGGGCAACCAACAGTAGGCAAGAGGGTTCTACAGAATGCCAAGATATCAAACGGCATTTAGATGAACTGGTCAGAAGCAGGAAGTGACAAAAACTGTTTTAAGAGCTGCTCGGCTAGTGGCGGTGGCTCATGCCTGTAATCCCAGAGCTTTGGGAGGCTGAGGTGGGTGGATCACCTGAGGTCAGGCATTTCAGACCAGCCTAGCCAACATGGTGAAATGAAACCCCATCTCTACTAAAAATACAAAAAATTAGCCGGGTGTTGTGCCAGGCGCCTGTAATCCCAGCTACTCAGGAGGCTGAGGCAGGAAAATCTCTTGAACCCGGGAGGCGGAGGTTGCCGTGAGCTAAGATCGCACCATTGCACTCCAGCCTGGGCAACAAGAGTGAAAGTCTCAAAATATTAAAACAAACAAACAAACAAAAAAACAAGAGAAAAAGATCTGTTCAAGGAAAACGGGGCTGCTTCCCAACAGCCAGCTTGAAACATCCCTTGGAATTATATCTGACAGATACATGTGACAGGAATAACAACAACACAGAAGGGTAGGAAACCGGCGCCCTGGCTCACGCCCGTAATCCCAGCACTTTGGGAGGCTGAGGCAGGCGGATCACGAGGTCAGGAGATCGAGACCATCCTGGCTAACATGGTGAAACCCCGTCTCTACTAAAAATACAAAAAATTAGCCGGGCGTGGCGGCAGGCGCCTGTAGTCCCAGCTACTCGGGAGGCTGAGGCAGGAGAATGGCGTGAACCCGGGAGGCGGAGCTTGCAGTGAGCCGAGATCGCACCACTGCACTCCAGTCTGGGCGACAGAGCGAGACTCCGTCTCAAAAAAAAAAAAAAAAAACCAAGTTTGATGTAACAGAACTTCAATATGCTTACCTAGAGCCGTCAAACTTACCTAGAGATGCTAAATACACTTCTGAATCCTGCAAGGGAGCCCAAGGCTTTACAGCTGGCTGGACGGCAAAGTCAGCCACCTCCCTCTGGCCTTCACCTTCAGGGTAAGAATCCACAAAGGAGTCTGAGAAGGAATTGTTGGCACCATCTTCTTGGTCAGGATTTGGCAGACAGGAACAAATTTCAGCCCAGAGATCCTGGCCAGATCTTGTGGCTGTAGAGTCAGCGCTCTCAAACATTTTCATTTGGAATCTGCGCTATAAAACAGAAGCTCAAGTGAGTAAGAACTGGCTTTAAGAATACAGCATAAGGTTGGGCACAGTGGTTCACGCTTGTAATCCCAACACCTTGGGAAGCTGAGACAGGCAGATAATTTGAGGCCAGCAGTTCGAGACCAGCCTGGGAAACATGGCAAAATCCCATCTATACTAAAAATACAAAAATTAGACAGGTGTGGTGGCACATGCCTGTAGTCCCAGCTACTCC